TACTGAGAATGAAAAACAAAAATTTAGCAATGAGAGAAAACAATTATGATTTAAAGTAAAACAGAAAACTTGGAAATGGTAACATTATATAAAATCTATATCTTAAACCAATATAGTTACAAACATATATTTTGCAGGTTATATAAAGTACAAATAAAAAACACAGTACCTTACCCTTTCTACTTGTCAACCATAGCATGCAATGACGGAACATAGCAGTAACAGATGGCATTGGAGTTAGTAAATATGAATAAAAAGGTAAATGGCAGCAGAATGGTGATTGGTTGACAACAGCAATGAAATATGGATGAAATAAATGAGAGCATGTAAATCCCGAATCAGAAGTCCACCTTTAAATCAAATGTTCCCTCTCATCTCCCATTTAGATTCTATATCAACAAAAGCTGCAACCTTACATGGTTTTTGTGACTCTCTCCATGCAGAAAGCACAACAGCAGTTCTGGATATTAAAGACCGGTGGTGCTTTCTTTCTTTCTTTCTTTCTTTTTTTTTTTGCAAGAATACTCACCAACAAAAACCCATTATTCTCTCCCCCTTCACTGATACAGCCTTTAAATTTTTAATCTGCACATGCTGCCAATGCTACAGTCTTTTCCAGCACATATGTATACACTGCAGATATAAATCCCTGCCTAACCCATAGTGCTCCTGACTCCAGAATGTTCTCTGTACATTTTCAAGCACTTCAATTTCTACAGTTTTTTAAATTACTCTATTAATTAAACATCTGAACATTTTCTGTGATTGGAATTAATGGAATAAAGAGCTTTTCTTTCAGCTCACCCTGGAAATGGAAGGTTTTCTGATCAACAGTTATTGTGAAGGTGCTGTCGTCTTCATCATCTATACCAATCACAGCTCCCTGTGAAACAAAGAGCAAAAATCCTGATAAGCAAAGCAGTGACATCACAGCAGCATGCAGTCTATTTCTACAAGACTAGAATGCAAAATTCAGGCAAATTGTCTAAGGCTTACTGATTCAGTTTCTAAAAACTAAACAATATTTGTTAGACTAATTGTACTTTATGCAGATTATATATTGTAGCTTTTCAAATATGACACTGCAGCATTTTATTTCAAAACCCAAAAGATAGGGATGTTTTGTCAAGAAATCACAAACTAAAAAAATAAATTACTTCTCCAGCGTTAAGCTTAAGCTACAATAACCTAGGTATCCACAATCCAAACATGGTTTGAGTATTCTTATAAAGTCATGAAGTGAGCATATGCAATATACATATATGAGAATTAGGGTCCTTCAAAAAATTATAACTTTATACAATACTATTATTTAAATAGTATGCTTAAAATACATCTTATTCTATTGTTTTCAGTCTACTATTGTAATTAATTTGAATGTGCAATTGCATAGTTATTTGGATTCCACATAACTTTGAATTATAATGCTGTTTTATTTTCTAAATGGCAACACAATTAGGCTGGAAAGTTCAGGCATGCAAAGGGACAGCAGCACACGGAGATGGAGAGAAGATTAAGATCAGGGAGGTATTGGGGAAAAACAATGAAGGAAAGTCATGGAAAAGAATGAACAGCATGGAAAGATTAAGGTGAACTAAAGAGAGGGATGAATATGTAGGGGGACACATAAGGGAGAGCATTTGAAGACAAGAAAGAAGGGAAGAGGAGAATAGAGACAAACAGAAGGAGACTAATGCATTGCTAAGGCAGGTGAAAACAAAATGTAGTAGGCATGGCAAGAAAAAGAATGTTGGGAGATGTACAATGGGCAAGGTCTATGGTCGGCTACCTAAATCCCGTAATAGACTACATGTTGACCAGATATTGCACTTGCTGTATTCCTATTATAAGATATTCCCCACATCATGCTAGAAGAATAGTAGTCCAGAAACTACAATAAATAACACCCTCTTTTTTGGTTATGCACTTTGTTACGTGGATTGAAATGATGATCAAATATGCAGATGATTTTTTTAAAAACCCATGAGAAATGGCTTACACAGGAATGACCAGTGGATCAAAATGAACAGGATGAAATTTAATAGCAGTGATCTAGATAGGAAAAAATTAATAGCACAAATACAGGTACTCCTCAACTTACAACAGTTCGTTTAGTGATGATTCAAAGTGACAATAGCACTGAAAAAAGTGACTTATGATATGACTATTACAGCATCCCCATCGTCATGTGATCAAAATTCAGATGCTTGGTAACTGACTCATATTTATTACAGTTGCAGTGTCCTGGGGTCGATCACCTTTTATAACCTTCTGACAAGCAAAGTCAATAGAGAATCCAGATTCACTTAACAACCGTGTTACTACATTAACAAATACAATGATTCACTTAACAACTGTGGCAAGAAAGGTCAGAAAGTGGGATAAAACTCTCTTAACAAATGTCTCACTTAGCAACAGAAATTTTGGTCTCGATTGTGACCATAAATTGAGGACTACCTGTACGGGATGAGGGAGAGTTGGCTTGGCAGTAGTATGTGAAGATTCTAGGTGTTGAATCCGGTTCCACCACAAATTCGCGAAGCCCTTATCCGCGCAGACATAAGCGCGAAGACTAATTCGCGCCGTTCGAAGCGCTAAGGAAAACCACGACCCTACCGCGATGACATAATCGTGGAGGGAAAATCCGCGCATTCTCAAGCACTCAGCATCCTAAACCTAACCCTAAACCTAACCCTAAACCTAACCCTAAACCTAACCCTAAAACAAACCCCTAACCCTAATACTAACCCTTACCTTAATTTAAATCCGCTTTCTGCTGCCGCACTGTTTTAAAGCGCCCCTCTGTCGCCGCGCTGTTGTCGCGGCGGTGATGACGCGCGGTGATGACGTCGCGGCTTTAGCGACGCGATTTTATCACCGCTATTTTGACGAGCGCGGTTTTGTCGTGCCACGCTCATGGCCTTGGGTAGAGTTTTTAACCTTGGCAAATTTAAGATGTGATCTTCAACTCCCAGAATTCTGGGACTTGACTTCCACGTCTCTCAAACTTGCCAAGGTTGGGAAACCCTGACCAAGGGGTGGTCATGGCTTGCCCATCCCTCATCTACATGTTTAATCAACAACAACCTAATACATATTAAGAAAAAAAAGCTCAGATCTTCCCAGGTTGGCTATGCGAGTTGATGGAACAACTTCATAGACTGTAACTAATTTTGCAACGAAATTAACGTGAAAGTTAATGTTCAAACGTAAACATTTTA